AGAATATAAAATAAGGAACTCCGTCCATTCAAATTGAACACGATGGCAACAATCATAACAAGCAACATGAATCGGTGGGTGATACATTTCACATACAGTCAAATGACACTTAACCCGACGGTGTTGCGTATCACCCATCGCCTTACTAATCACTCCCGTGGAGTATGCGTGCACGGAATACGAACGCGTACTACCTTTATCTACAGTACATCTGAATACAATCTTCGGTCATACTGATTTATGTACTACCGTCCCATTGATTGACTTTATAGTACATGTATATACATTTTATTAAAGAGGTTCGAACCTACCTGCGGCACCGGTTTGTTTGATAAAGTATCCAAACAAGACGCTGAAGACAAATTGGATCGTAACTTTTCGGCTAGAAATAGTAAAAGTCGACATTGTCATCCGCCGCGGCGCATTACGTAGAGGCTCTTCTTCGTCACCGATCAATGTCTTTCGCTTGACTTAATGCGAAAGTTCCAGCCGAAATGCAGTTGACTCTCCTGGGATATATCTTGTATAGTCAACGACTGTCCTTCAATCTAATCTTAAGTGTGTTGGACACCCACTCCTTCGGTTCCAGTTTCTCTTATCGATGATGACGTCGTCACACTTAAGAAGTATGGTGGTCCATGATTGGTCAACAACTCTACCAACCGGAATAGTCACGTTGATGGCAGGAGTATCACAATGTATATAATAATATCCGGCGTATTTTACTATTAATGATAAAATTAGAAACTTGTGACTACACAGTGGATGCCGTGACAAACAATGATATAATGACGTGGAACGTCTGATAATTACTGATAACTGATAACGTCATAATTAACTTGAACCCAGCATTTGGGAAAAGTGAATTAATTCGCTGGATTTTCACGGTGTCAACACGACAGCTGTTTATATAATACATTATTTTAATAATGTCCTCATTTTATGATCACGACGTGATTGGACATTATATAAAATTATTCATAATTATTTTAAATCTCAATGTCGAAGGAAAGCGAGAGCAAAAATACACGTGTATGATATTATGAACAAAATATTAAGACAAAATAAAGCGTTGGCATTGCTGTTAATACTCTATATATCCAACAATGATTTGTTCCATAACGAATAATGTAATGTGTCTGTTCTACATATGTATATGTGACGAAAATAATTAATAACGTATTCCGTAAATTATGACGCTGAAGGAACTCACCCAAAGGTTAAATTCATGCCACGATCACAGTCATTTTGAATGATTCACAATGGCACAAGTAAACAAGTAACAGATTATATGAGAGGTAAAACCAATAATAATCTCATAGTTTGATGAACAAATTCGCCGGCCAATCAACGCGGCGGCGGTCTCGTCGATCGATAGTGTATCAGTATAAGGATGTGTACCCGGTCCGAGAACACTACATACTATGTTTGATTTATCGGCGTAAGAATAATGTTAGCATATATAGCATAAATTAATGATGTGTTACTACAACAGAGTGATAATTAAATGAAAACATAGCTTATCAAAATGTGTATTATTCATATAAGGTACTTCCAACTACTAACTGCTGTCGCCGTGTATTTCGCACTTACCTGTGTGGAATCAGTCACACCACCGTCAGTAAAATAAGCAGAGAGAGAGACGGCTGTGAATATATGTTTACGTGATGTCAACATTCAGTAGGACTACCCATTCGATAACACTAATACTACACCCAATTTATTCCTTACCATTAAACTGATTTCTATCGATCGTGTCGTGATTGATTAAATACCCGAGATCAATACATAATTCCAAGATAAAAGATACGCACCAATTCGCGCCCAGTAGTAGCTGCCGGCTATGTCCGCGTTGTCATGCAAGTTCGACGGAATAGATGCGCTACTCACCAGCATGCCTTTATTATAAGTTCACGCAAATAAGCCGATTGTAAATTCAAATTGCATTAATTTTTGATAGTTACCGAGTGACACAAGCTGTGCATTTGTATAGCTAGATTGACAGCACAGTGGCCCGTAAATAATTACACCCTCCCTGCTGATTGACCTCCGTGCTAAGTGACGCTAACTATACTTCTCACTTTCTAAGATTGGTTTCACTTCTACCAACCATTTCCTATTATGGGCTATACATTACATCAACAGTTATATATGCAAAATAATAAAAGCAGCATTTATATTCGGAATTATGTGTATCACCCTAATCCGGATTAGCACTGCATCGTTATTCTGTTTAAAATACCATTTTAATTATTTTACTAGTAGCTTGTCGTAGATAAGGGGAAAAAAAGTTCGGGAGCCACATTTTATCTCCATTTTATCATGTTTGTTGTTATGGAAACCCTCTACTATTTTAACAATACACAGTTAGAATAACGGTATAAGCGACGTTTGCATGGTGACCTACTTCGTGTCAGTTAGTGTGGTTCACTAGTAAACGCCGTATTCATACCATATATTTATTAACTGCTCATCAAAATATTGACCCATTCTCCTGTCATAACTGTCATGTTAACAATGTAATAATCGTCTTCATTATAACTACTCCGTGTGCTCTGGATTCGCAAGATCAATGTACATGTATTTGATAGATTGATGGGTCACGTGAGTACGAAGACTCCTCACAAGCAATTAGCTAATGAGCTTAGGGGATGATTGTGTCTTGGGCTTCCATAATCGATCGTCAAAAGGAAATACGATAAATCCAGACAATATGGAATAAATCAAAAACTATTTTGTTTGAATCTGATCTTGGAACGCTAAAAAGTCCAATGCATTCTAAAGGAATATTCACATATTACTTATTGATCGTATTCAATCAAATCGCGTAGTCGTGTGCAGTTTACCGCAGGCATCCTGCATCTCGGCTTTAGATTCATCTTAACCATTAACAAGCCTCGAATCGGCGCCAACTCCGCACAATTATATCACGTAGTCAACGTTTTGCCTAGGATAACAGTGTATGAGGATGGCTACCCTGACATGTGTTGGCGTATTTGAATATATTCATGTACTATATACTATAATGACATCTCGTCACAACCGAGAAGATGTAGAGAAATCGTTGTGACACAGGAAAGATGTACAATAGAGGCCGATACTAAGTCGTCGAGGGCGCTAGACTGTTCAATAAAGTTTGTGGTAAATCAGTGGTAGGAAACACCACGGGACAGGTGGGTGCCGTTAGGACGTGGCGCAAAAGAACATCCCGATGTCCCGCAGTGTTAGCTACTCATAAACGCAATGCTTTGTTTTAAACAATCACTAACAATCTACAATTGTTTTCAAACAAACAATTTTGACCAAACACGCTTGCGGTTGCTACCCACATTTATTCTAAAACCTGAGTCTCGTTCTAATTACAAACTACAACGTTTATGACAATAATTTCATTGTATTAAGTTCTAGATTTCGACACAAAAACATCAAATATTGCATTTCTATGCAGGCAGCCGGTATATGAAACCATCGAAATTGCTATGCCATTTCCTACGTTAATATAAACAGAATACAATTAAGTGTAGTGTTGATGAGGTTCATTTTATCGAAAACGTAGAACATGATTTTAACAGAGCTGAAATCTCGCACGTATAACCAACTTTCGTTAAAAATGGCGTACAGCCACAAAAATGCACATCACTGGTGACAATAGTCGCTATCTTTTTAAGATGTGTGAAACTGAATATCTTGACCAATCAGATTTGTGTAGTTTGGTTAAAATCGTCCATCAACGTTGAAAGTGCATTTAATTCTGGGATCAAAGTGTTATTACTGGTCTTCAAACTTATTATACAGAGTTACTTTTGACTATAGAGGGCGCAAATATTCGATAGCTTTGTCTTTGTCAACACATTTTGACAGTCCTGAACCTACGATAACAACGTTATTACTAATAATTCATCTAACTCTAAAATCTCAAAAATCAGAAGAATTAAATACCTCCTAGCCTAAATAAGGGAGCGTCACCGACTAAGCATGAATGAACAAATATGAACGATGTCTCTGTTACGTTCAGGGTAATAGTAATAGTAGCTTTATTACATAACAAAATACGTTATGAAATGTATTGACATTACAATCAACGTATCCACGCATGTCAGGGAAAGATATCGTCACGTATTTGTTACTTTTGACTATAGAGGGCGCACGTTCAGAGAAAAGCATGACTTCAAAACGCAACATGGACGCTTTTCGAAATGAACTAAATTTAACACTCTGAATGATATTAAACGTATCATTACAGGAATGTAATTATCTTTTGAAAACTTGTTGAAAACATACGTACATGTTTCTTGTATTGGTGGTATGACAATGTTGATCTCCAATCAATCAAAAAACGCATATTAATCGTTAAGTCTATCGCGTAAAAAGAACATTGTCTTATAGTATAAAAATACAGAATGAAAGAAAAAACAATTGTGAATTAAATAAACTTATTGGTACTGCATAAAACAAAACATCCGAAAATAGAAAGGTAAATATGAAAATTGGACGGTCGAGTATTCCTGTGACAATCGGTACTAATGACAGTGACCACGAGTACGTATTGCGATTGTGTTAAAATCACTGCTTCACGGTATTAACATTTTTTTTCGATATATCGGAAAGCTCCGGTGTTTGGAAGATGGGATCTATGGTGAAGTCACTACACAATATCTTATATGAATATCACTTTCTGTATACAGTGACAATATCAAGCTTCACGTGGTGGTATTGTCAATTTCAGTCATTATTAAAAGTACTAACTGTTCATCCACAGTGCCAGTTATGGATACACATGCAATCAAATATCCAGATCTGACAAAAGGTCATTCAGTGTACCACCAAGTTCGTCGTCTGTTGTGGCGTATAGTCTCTATAAAATGGTTCGTTCTTGGCCGTCCACATGAAACAATTGTGAGTTCATGATAATATATTGTATTGGTCCAGGAGTGGAATAATTTTAGTAAAACACATTCTATATGTTGGGGAATTCATTCTCTTCCAAACAACCGTTTCCTTCATAGGTGTTCTAGTCCTTTTTCCATCAGTACTTTGACCGTTTTATAGTGTTTGTAAGGCAAGAAGCACATGCCATGGTCGGGCGCGTTGATACAGTGTGTATCGCATTGATCACTGTACCATATATTGTGTGAGAAGTCATAGCGTTGAATATGCAGTTGTCGTTTACTGTTCTTTTCTGTCGATGTCCCCATAATTGATCGGTAGAAGTCATCGGCTGTCGCGTAGACAGTCCCAGACGACGTGGTGATAGATGTACTTGTTTGCAGGCTAGGTCCAGGAACGTCCTCCACGTGTGATATGGGTGTATCTTCGGGTTCCGCTTTGCTTGTACAGAAGGAAAGTATCTCTCCGTTGCATGCAACTGCCCCAATCTGAGGGCCCGGGACGGATAAGTCGGCAACTTGGCACCAGTCATCGATGTCTGGATCGTATCTCCATACTTCGTTATTGGTCTTCTTCTCCGTGGAGTAGATACCAAGAATATAAATGAACCCATTCAAAGCGACAGCGGGACATTCACTGAACAATCTAGGAGCAGGTTTTAATTTTGTCCATGTGCGTGCACGGAGATCGTAGCACTGGTTATAAGCCACACAGCCCTGATTGCCCCCAATAATGAAAATCCTCCCATTCAACACAACAATGCCGGAATCGCAACAACCATCTGGTATCCTAGTAACAACTTGCCAGTCACCATGGCTACATTTCGAACTTTTCATAGTAAGTATATCGGCTGAGGTGGCGCTATTCTCAATGACGTACAATTGTTCATCAATGTTCACCACAGTGCCACCGTAGTGTTCCACGTTTTGGCGTGTCTTAACCCATCCTTTTTTCGTCCCTTCCACGTACCATATCGAATCCTGTCCGTTGAGAAGGCATGTTCTGTAACCATCTACCAGGGCCACCGATGACATATGACCTTCTATCGTGATATCTTTCACCACACCATACGGTATGAGCGTCTTTTTAATCGCGTCGTAGTCGAACAACTCCAGACTGCCCTGTACATTCCCAGGTGAGCTGAGAATCATAACATTACTGTACCTAGAGTCAGTTGCGTCATGGCCACGAAACGTTTTCGGGGTACATTCTAAAATTTGTTGAGCACGCTCTACGTTCTTCACGGTGTCGATCTCCGTGAGGAGTCTGTCGATGTACCGTCTCTCTAGTTTAGCAACATTGACAAATCTCAAGAGTCTCGCAACATGCTTGGTCCTCTCCTCCTTGTTGTACTCGATCCATCTAATTAGTGCGTTGCATAGCAACTCTTCATCTTCTACCACTAGATCGCGATCAGATAAGTACTTGATTAGAGCGTCCTTGCTCAACTCCATGAACTCCTCGTTCTTACAAATATCGCAGAAATTATGCAGAATGTAATCAATGGTGACGTTGTTCAAGTTTGTACAGGTGTACGTATCCGCCAGTTTAAGTATACCGAAGCAGTTGTTCGAGTTTAGTTGAGTCTTCAGGAACGAGCAGCATACCTGGAACAGCGTCTGCATTTGAAACATACTAGACGCGTGCAGCAATTGTTGGGCGTTATCTTGATTTATAGTGATGTCAGAGGTGTATATATAATCCAATATTGCCCTGAGAGCGACAGGATCGACGTCATTTAAAGGTACTTTTGTTGTTTTACATTCCTGCATGCCGCTTGTGAACATGGCTTTGAAGTAAGGGCTTACACAAGACAATACGCTACGATGACAAGGGTATTCGTAACCGCTAACAGTCAGGACCAAATCACAGAGATCATTCTGTCGATAAAACTCTAGCAGACCATCCAAAATGCTGTGAGAAATGCTCTTGTCGTGGAATTCTAAAGCTGTACTATTGCCACTGAACCTTTTTGTACGAGGTATATTATTCATCTTGAAGAAATTATGTAGTTTCTAAACTGTGAACAAAACATAACAATGAGAAGAGAAAAGATAAGGCAAATGTAACAAAATGATGGTGTCTGGTTGGTTACTGTCCACCAAGTCACCGTAGAATTCTTTATAATATTATCTGGGTATTATGTTCACGAAAAACAAAACGTTGGTAAATGTAATTTCATGAGTATCAGCTATTCACTGAAAAATAACTATGTGCACACAATTGTGTCATTTTATCAGCTATTCACTGAAAAATAACTATGTGCACACAATTGTGTCATTTTATCAGCTATTCACTGAAAAATAACTATGTGCACACAATTGTGTCATTTTATCAGCTATTCACTGAAAAATAACTATGTGCACAGAATTGTGTCATTTTATCAGCTATTCACTGAAAAATAACTATGTGCACACAATTGTGTCATTTTATCAGCTATTCACTGAAAAATAACTATGTGCACACAATTGTGTCATTTTATCAGCTATTCACTGAAAAATAACTATGTGCACACAATTGTGTCATTTTATCAGCTATTCACTGAAAAATAACTATGTGCACACAATTGTGTCATTTTATCAGCTATTCACTGAAAAATAACTATGTGCACACAATTGTGTCATTTTATCAGCTATTCACTGAAAAATAACTATGTGCACACAATTGTGTCATTTTATCAGCTATTCACTGAAAAATAACTATGTGCACACAATTGTGTCATTTTATCAGCTATTCACTGAAAAATAACTATGTGCACACAATTGTGTCATTTTATCAGCTATTCACTGAAAAATAACTATGTGCACACAATTGTGTCATTTTATCAGCTATTCACTGAAAAATAACTATGTGCACACAATTGTGTCATTTTATCAGCTATTCACTGAAAAATAACTATGTGCACACAATTGTGTCATTTTATCAGCTATTCACTGAAAAATAACTATGTGCACACAATTGTGTCATTTTCGCCAAATAACCCCAATAATGATACAATACAATATTTTCTGTGATTGATTGTGTTGTAGTTAATAAACAACTCGCTTGGCGGTGGAACTTGGGGTGTTATCGAGTGTAAATCCGGACTCTATAAGTTACATAGAACTTTACAGACTATATTATGAATATGAACAGTTATAGAAAGTGGGTGATTACCATATTTTCAATTTAGCTGTTTCGATTATAAGGAGCAACTTCCGTGTTTTATTATTTTAAATACTTCGCACAAGGAAGTTTTAGAGCCATTAAAAGAACGCAAATTACAGTACTAGTATACGATGACTTCGTGTTGTGGTCACGTGTTTCCGCTTGTACGCGTTTTAATTTAGTTTTTTATCTACACGTATGCCATTCAGCGTTCGGACAATTTACAGTATACATATACGTGTATGGCCTTAGCCGGTGGGAAGGTTGGAATTGCGCAATGTTTGATGTAAATATATGGTCACATGACCGTAGTCGATGGTACAGAAAATTCACAGTGTTAATAATTTACGCGGACTTAAATTTGGCTACACCCAATATCCTCCGCCAGTTATACGAAAGACGGCTTTCATTTATCGTAGATGGCGCTGTTGATGACAAAGGTTATGCAAATAACGGTCGGTTTTGTCAAAGACAATCTTTCTAATGTCTTTGGTTTTGTATAACATAAATGATATAAATGAACTTATTACATTTCAATTAATAAATGGTATAAATATCTCACAGGAAGGAAACATAAAAACTCCCCTCCGCATACTACACTAGTTCAATTTCACCACTCTGCAGATAACGCCGGTTTTCGATATCATGATCTCACCTATACTACCAGGAACATAGCTTATCGCATAAAAACGTGTTAAGCGTAAGTATGGTATGTTAATATGGCGGGTACGTAGAAATGTACATGAACACATGATATGAGGTTCTGGCGTCATTCCCTCAAACTGCGTGGATTGGACGTAGACTGACTTCCGTAGCACAAAGGTATACCGGAACCGCTTTCATGTTAACCTGTTCAACAATATGGTCTGAGCATAGCGGATACACTACGTGTAATACACATTACTCTACTTACCCCGTCCGCATTCACACCCCGTCGATCGTTCTCTGATCGTAACCGTCTGTAAAGCTGTGGTGTGGGTGAATGCCGTGCTAGGCTAGTATCGATAACTACGTCACCAGTTTCATATACATATACATCCTGGTACTCTACGCCAGTTTTATTCTCGAGTCGTTGACCTTCGGCTGAGTCCAGTCCCATAAAAGCAAACATAAAATCCGTTTGTATTTCAACATAATTAAACTATATAATTCTCCCAGGAATCATTTTGGGTGGCATAGATGCTGAGAGAAATAAATTTATTTGCCAAATTACAAATAAAACAATTGACGTCATCTCATTTGTAAGCGGACACTTACTTCGGTTAGTCTGGTATTTCCCTATTAATCAGCGATGTAATTGCTGTATTTAAACATGGTTTCTGTATTTACATAGAATTTCCGAGAATTAGGTCATTACCAGGAATTCTTGTTCTTTTATTTCTTTCATTGTTGTGTTCATGATATCTTAGTACACGACCACAATATCGCCATCTACGGCAGCATCACTAGATATATACCTACTTTTGATTTCTTTTTTTCCATCCCGCTTTAATTATTGAGAGTACTGACGCAAGAGGGCGAGGTTTTGGAGTAAAATTTTAAGTTGTTTCTTTTTTCAAACGTTGTATACGTTAGACGTTGGTGACAAATGTCTATTTGTCGACAGGCATCAGGTTGCTGCTGATTGTCGCTACGTATAAATGAGAATGGTTAAGACCTTTATAATTGTTTTAATAATTACGTTATAAGTGAACGGTATTTGGCTGGGATAAGTCATTACTCTCGAGCATTGCGGCGTACTATCCGTGAACGTGAATCTTTCTGAATGAAATGAATACAGTGTCGGTAAATTAGACGGACAATTAATGTGGCGATCAAGCAGTGAACAACTGTGAAAAAAACGTTACCATAGGGAAGTTAATTCTATTTAGTTGGACTGAAGTGTGGACATTTTTTTCTCCGCAGATTTTCTATGATTATTAAACTTACTAATTCATTCTCACTCCAACTGTGTTTTAAAAAAAATATCCGTTTTAGAACACGGGGGTTATTTTCTTTACCTTACAAAAAATAAATGACTGAATCACAAATTACTGAAAATACTACAACATGGAATTTTTTCTTTATGCTAATTGCAGTGTATATACTGCTTCATTCAATGTTGCGACGGACGCATCTACCTCTGCACATCAGTCCATCAATAATGTACCTGATGTCTAGTGTGTATTTCTTCTGTTCTCTGCCGTTACTATGAGTAGTTTCCACACTATTTAATGTATAGTCTGTAGGGACTACTACGCATGTATATTACAATGAAAGTCAATAATTAGGTAGCGGATCTAGGGTTCTTGTGGTCCGGACCTCCCGTTAAAAAAATATTCAATTTGTGTTTGTATAATATAAAAAAATCATTAACTTAGTCTGGGGATTTTAAAGTTTGGACCCCCCCTAAAAATCCTGTATCCGCCCCTGTTACAGTTTATCATGTTTAGACTAGATCTATTGTGGTTTGTTCGGCCTTGTCCATACAATTTTGGGTCAAGTAATGGAATAACTCTCTATCATCTAATTTGATCAGGAAGACAATCTGATTAAAAATACGTTTTCCGATATTGAGATATTGTATAGATGGCATTAGCCAATGGCAGTCGCCCATCTCAGGTGACGTCATATCTGGTTGGACCGACATTTAAGGGCGGTTTCACCAAACTCGAGGTAACACGCCACGAACCGTACAATCAGAAGTATCTTTTTTATCGACACAGTTGCGAGGAATCAATGGAATCGAATGCAAAGGGAATTCATTTAGAGAAAATCCGTCGTTACCGAGAGAAGGATTACCATGACAACACACATACCGAGGAAGAAAGAGAATTTTTCGAAGCAGTGGAACAAGGTAATACAGGGGTGGTGCAGGAACTCGTACAGGTAACTACTAGTTAAACTCTTCGGTTTCCATAAACATAATGTTTATACCACTCGACCTCTGGCGTTAACAGACTATGTTGTCTATATACCATCGAGAGTATAGATATTCTGTGTTGTCATGTTCATCATGACTTAGTATTTACATTAATATATATTTCTTGAAATGTTCGCGTCTTCTTCCCTGTCAATCATATAAGCTGACCGATTAGAGAGTAATAACGTTGAAGAGAATTCATTCAGCGCTTTACTGTCCATAATAGTACTAATATATTTTGAATAGTTGCCTAGGACAACGATTTCCAATCTATATCTATTAGCTATTATAATTTCAAGGTTGATCCTTCCGACCAGCGTTTATTTATTTATTTATTTCCTGTACTCGTTGCCAATTAAAATATATTCTTGTACCGTATGTATAACTTTCTCGAATACAATTTGGTAAAATTTTGTAAACTGGTAAATTATTCTTCAACATTTAATTTTAAACTAACCAAATGCCTTTCAGGATATGATGGTGTTTTCTATTCACTCAATTTGTGTACTGTTTTTCCCATGAGCAGGCGCGAAGAGTTGCCGTAGTTACCATGCATTTAAAGTGTTGTGAGCAAAATTTACAACGTAATAACTGAATTCTTAGTTTTGATCTGTCAACGTTAATCTCTCAGTGTGTAATGGATTTTTTGTGTCTCATTGTTCGTGGTTCATTGTTCGTTATTGAGAAAGCTATCTGGATGCTGTGTTCCTGTATGCATCTACAATTTCTGAATTATAATCATAAATGATACTTAGAGTACAGCTGTTCAAATGGTGTAAATTTCATGACTCATGCTGCTTTGGTGGTGTTTACCTATTCAGTTTTAAAATGTTTACACAACTTACAGTTTAGTTTTTAATTTTCTTTGGTTGTTTTTGTACAGTACAATCAAAATTGACGACGTCCAAATCAGTTCTAATATATCAATTTTATAAATACACATTTCAACTGTTTTAATATTTAAATATTTGATGAGATCAGAGAACTGTTATAACCGGGAAATTAAACACGATTGACAATCATTATATTGCAAACATCATCAATATACTTGTATCGTATTTATATTGTAAAATAATCCCAGGCAAAAGTTTTGTGTTTCAATTATAAGTGTACATTTGTATTTTCATTATGATTTCCACTTATATATATATATTATCAATGGCACACAACAGCACGGCGCACCGAATATATCATTGCTTGAATTATTAAAACAGCAATATACTCCCTCACATCAGCAACACTTTATTTCTCGCTCAATATGTACGTAATTGAAATACACAGTTGACAGAAAGAAGTAGTTTATCAAAATGGTAATCAAAAAATAAAATAATGGTACGTGAAGAATTTCAATATACCATTAAATCAATTAGCTATGTTTTGATTTGTATGGCAATATGTTGTCATGGAAACTAGTCTGTAATCTACATACTCATTAACTCGTACGGTAAATAGAAATGAGATGAGATTATTGGATTATTTGTTAGTGTGCATTT